CCTAGAACATTCATATTTACTTGTAGATCGCCTAAATCTTTAATATTACATCAAGCATACCACGTTCATTGCTTTTTAAAAAGTGAAATATATTTTTTTCATGTATAGATTTGTGATGCCAAAATGTTGTAAGTGTAAATATCAAACTTAATGTGTTAGATATGTAAATACACAAAATTATGCCCTTTTATGTAAATTTCCCAATTTTTAAATATTTATAAAAAAAATGCTCACTATAAATTTTTAAAATATATAAAAACCTAATTAAAAACAATTTTAAAAATATCAATAAAATATTTTATATTTATTCCATATTGGACCAAATACCACCATACTTTGCACCAGAGATCCAACTCCGGCCAATTGAGGAGGAAGACTACTCAAGAATCTAAAAACACCAACTGGAGCACCAAAGGAAATTCCTGTAGCAGAAATCAGCTCGAAACAACGCGGTAGTAAAACTACTGTAGCATCAGTCTGAGATACTATAAAAGTTAAGAAAAACAAGAAAGAAAACAGAAGAGTAAATAGCTACCAAACCAAAACCAAGAAGCTAAATCAAAAACATAAAGACAACACCTCCATCAAAAATCACTAAAAAAAATCCAATAACATCTCCAAAAAGTAAAACCAATGCACCACCAAAAACATGACAACAACAAAAGAAGCACAAAAGCAGAATCAACAAGAAAAAAAAAAGAGCTCAGAACTTACCTAATGAAAAATAAATTAAAATATCTTCAAAATACTATAAATATTTTTGCACCAAAAACATTTACAAATATGGTTGAATTTTATTGTAATTGCTAGAAAACATCATTCAACCCAAACAATCCCGAGAAAAAAAAATCAAGAGATTTCTAAACAAAATAAAAAATCTAAAAAAAAAGAGCAGAAAAAAAAAACACTACTCTCTCTCAAAAATAAAAAGAAACCAAGTATCGCATTCTCTTTATCTCTCTCTTGAAAAATTATTGCATCAGGAGTCGGGACTTAGTTGTGCGCCTGGACTTCAATGATATTTTGCCATGTGTAAAAAGGTGTACCCACTGAAAAAAAGTAATAAAGATGTATTTTTGCGCGTGACCCGAGCTGAACACTAGCTAAGTGCTTCAAAGACTAAAACCCATGCGCCTTTTCAATATCCATTTCGTTCTATTGCCAGATGAAAAGTAGTCTGGATTTAGGGTCACACATAACACTTTTCATCTGTGATATTGGTAGCTGGGGTTTTGAAATCTCTGAAGTTGTCGCAATCCCTCTCTCTAGCCATGTAAGTTATTGAAATGTTTAGGTTTTTCCGAAACAACTCTTGCGTCCGGATCTAGGGTTTATGGTGCAAACTCACTCGTGTATTTTTTTTTAGTATTTAAGCAAGATAACATAAAAGAATGAAAGAAACCAAGGAAAATAGAAAGCGAAAGAGTAGACAGAGATCATCCTGGTAAATCAGAACTGTGCTTCTACTTGCATTCAAAAGTTTATTATTTACGATTTTGACTATATTAATCATATCACGAGCGAAACAGTAGAATACTACCATTTAACTAGAATAATACTACCATACCACCACACTAATAACACCACAATACAACAACATTTTTTATCACAAAAACACCATAATGTCACTCTATTAACACCACTACACAACCACATCAATAACCTCATATTACAACCAATAATAACACCACAATACAATAACATTTGTATCATTATAATACCATAATATACATTAATAACACCACTAAACAACCACAATATAAAACCCACATTGCAACTACTAATAGCACCACAATAAAACAAGATTTGTATCACAATAACATCATAATACTGTACTAATAACACAATCATACAACCACACTATTAACACTACAATTCGACCACACTAATAACACTAAAATACAACTACATTTGTATGATAATAACAACATACTATTACACTAATAACACTACAATACAACCATATTTGTATCACAATAACATAATAATATTGCACTATTAACACCACTATACAACCACACTATTAAGCCTACATTACAACTACACTAATAACACAACAAGACATCCATATTTGTATCACAATAACATCATAATATTAGACTAATAACACCACTATTCAACCACACTATGAACACCACAATATGACCAGACTAATAACACCATAATATGACCAGACTAATAACACCACTATATAACTGCATTTGTATAATAATAACACCATACTATTACATTAATAACACCATAATAGAACCGTATTTGTATCAAAAAAACAACATAATAATGCACTAATAACACCATACAACATACTATTAACCTCACATTACAACCACACCAATAACACCACAATACAACCACATTTAGTGTTATTTTAAAGTGAAATGGTTTTATTGGGGTAATGTTGTCGCATTCTGGAGAAAATTTTGGTAGTATTATACAACTAAATCTGTGTTATTAGGGCGGTAGTGTGGTGTTATTATGTGGGTAATTTGGCGGTATTAAGATTTTAATTTGGTGTTTTAATTGGGGAATTCTTGTGATATCTTGATTGTTTACTGATTTATAGTGTATGTTATTATGTTTGTTTATTAGAGTTTATATTATGTTATTTTGGTGTTGATTTGTTGTTATTATGGTGGCAATGTGTTGTAATTTTGATGTTGAATTGGCGTTTTCATGCTTTTTTCATGGTAATTTTATTGTGTATAAGTGTTGATTATGGTCTTATCTCACTTTTATTCTGATTGAGTTGGTATTACAGTGATAATTTAGTTCAACTTTGGTGGTTTTATGGTGCTGGTGTTATTGTAAATACAACTTGGTGGTCTTTTATTGTTTATTAGGTGTCATTTCATTTTAATTTGAATTAAAAGATCATTTTTGTGTTAACATGGTGCTATTCTGTTATTTTTTTATTATGGTGATATGTATGTTTTATCCTAAACATATTTTGGTATTATTTTAGACATATTTTGGTGTTATTCTGCTGTTGATTTAGTGTTAATATGGTGATATCTACGTTGCATGCTTGACATATTTTGGTGCTATTAGGTTGTTAATTTGTCTATTCATGTTTTGGAGTCATTATAAACATATTTTGATATTATTCAGTTGTTGATTCAATGTTATTATGATGATATCTATGTTGTATACTGGATATATTTTGGTATTATTAGGGTTCTAATTTGTATATTTTGGTTTTATTAGGTTGTTGATTTGGTGTTGTTATGATGATATCCATGTTGTATCCTAAACATATGTTTATGTTATTATAAACATATTTTTGAGTTAGTTTGTTGTTGATTCAGTGTTATTATGATGATATCTACGTCGTATCTGGATATATTTTGGTGTTATTATGAACATATTTTGGTATTATTTTGTTATTAATTTAGTGTTATTAATATATGTATCCTGGTGTTATTAAGGTGATAATTTGGTTGTACTGTGTTGATTTTGTGCTATTGAAGTGGTGTTATTATGATGTTATCTCAGTTTGTGTTATTTTCTTGTTGCCATTGTGATATTAGTTTGTAATTGGTGTTGATATTATTTTGTTGTTGCATTTATGTTTAGGCACTGAAATGGTTTTATTATGGGCTCATTGGGCTTTAACAAAATGTCTTTTTTTTTTCATTATCTTCTTTTATAGGTTTTTAAACCCAATGATGTTCAATTGTAGGTGCCAACCATCTGTGGTAAGATCTGTTCTTGATTTGGTTAAACATACCCTATTTGGGAATGTTGTGAGCACCCTGAAAGATTTAAATGTACTTTAATTTTTTTATCTGCATCCATATCTGCAAGATAATGTCCTAACTCTACACATCTTGAATTGTTGATGTTGAACAAAGGGTATTCAGGATGGGCGGGATGAAATTAAGTTTAGACACCGACCAAGTTGCCTTACCGATAGACATGCCCAACTGTGGAAAACCAGTCCACTGGGATAAAGCTCTCTCATGTGGTGGACTTCTGGGGAATTTGGTAAATTTGGTGGACTTTGGGTGGATTTGGGTAAATTGGATGACTATAATTGGCCTTGATGGATTTTTGAGTGAAATTGGGGTTCTTGAGTTAGTTTTGGTAATTTTGGGTGTTTGGGGTAAATTTAGGATTGTGAAGGTGTAGAAAGGGTAGTGTGAAGTGAATGGAAGTGATGTAGGGTGTGAATGACCATGCCTTCCAAGGTCATCCTAAAGCTTCATGATCCTATGGGAACACATTTTTTTGAGTCTCTACATGTTGGTCTCTACCAACTCATCCAAATTTCTAGGGTCTTAGACTACCCATGTGGGACTTCTCCAAAGAGCTAAGAAGTTATTTGAGCTTCTAAGTGGGGTGGTCCCCTCACTAGTCCTCTAGGACAATCAATAGGAAAGCCCTATGACTATATCCTACATTTTAGAAAGAAAACTAGACCTTACAAAAAATGAGGTCAACAACCACCAAAATAGTAAAACAATACCACCACAAAATCACCTTAATAGCACCACTAAATCAACACAATATCTTCACAATCCCACCATAAAACTACCAATTAAACAAAATACAACCTTAATCTCACCTCAATACAACAATAATATTAGTCCAATAACATCACAAACCATCACAATACCACCAGAATAATAAGATAATAAAACCAAAATAAAATCACAATACTACATCAAAATCACCATAATAAAAAAATTAACAATAACAATAAAAACCACCAAAATAACTCTACAATAACACCACAATATTATCACAAAAAATACAAGAAAAGTAACATCATACCATTAATTCGAAATACAAAGAAAATCAAACAAATATAAATTAATGTCAACATTTCAAACACAACTAAACTCACCTCCATTTCAAATTTCTCGTCATTATTTTTCATATTTCATTCTTAATATTTTTCACTTGGCATGATGTTCACAAATAACATAGGATTATCGTGTTAATCTTAACCAGAGAACTACAAGAAAATCTTTTGGCCACAAGCAAAACCCTAGCCCTTTGATAGGAAATGAAAAAAATGTATGGATTTTAAACAGCAGCCAATTCACCGCTCAAAGCCGTGAATTCACTTCTTGATCCGGTCAGCAAGTTCAATTCTCCCAATTCACCGCTCAAAGCCGTGAAGCACCTTCGCAACCCGCCCTCCAGGATCCTTAAATTTCTGAATTCTGCTCAAAACCTGCTACCAAACAACCAGGGAGAAGGGAGAAGGGAGAAATGGAGATGGGAGGGATTAAGCACAGGATGCTACATGTTAATGGGATTAACATGCACATCGCCGAAAAAGGGGATGGTCCTGTGGTACTCTTCCTCCATGGATTCCCAGAGCTCTGGTACACTTGGCGGCATCAGATTGTGTTCCTTGCAGCCCATGGCTACCACGCCGTCGCCCCCGATCTCCGCGGCTACGGTGACACGGACGCCCCTTCTGATGTCACCGCCTATACCATCTTCCACCTCGTCGGCGACCTAATCGCCCTCATCAACTCTCTTGGCCAGGATAAGGTCAGAAAAAATTTCCCGTTCTTATGGGAGCTGCTATTGCTTTGGGGTTTGGTTGTACTGAGATTATAGCATATTTTGTAGGTTTTTGTAGTTGGTCACGATTGGGGGGCGGTCGTGGCGTGGAACCTCTGCGTTCTCAGGCCGGACAGAGTGAAAGCACTTGTTAATCTCAGCGTTGCGTTCTCCCCTCGGAATCCGGCTCGAAGACCGTTAGATTCCTTGAGGGCGCTGTACGGTGATGATTACTATATGTGCAGATTCCAGGTACTTCCTTTTCAAATTCTTAGTCTGTATTAATGATCTATGAATCTGTGAATATTTGATGTTTTTTGTAGTTGAAATATTAAAGTTGTTTGGTGATTTTGTTGTTGTTTAGCGTTATCCAAGTGCGCTGATCATTTGTTGGGTGCTTTTGCTGGTATTGTTGATTTTTTCTTATAGTGAATGGATGAGTAGTTAGATTTATTTCACATTCCTTGTTTGTGTCTACAAATTATTTGCTTTTGGTTCTGAGTTTTAGTAAGTTATCTTAGGGAGTATCGTCTATTGGACATGTGTTGCAAAGGATGCTTTGCTCTTTTGTGTCCTATGTTCATATTGAGGTCAATATACTGCTCTAGGTGGCGTTGGTCTGCAAGAACTAATGATTTGTGTGATGTCCTTCCCCTACTTGTTCTGTAACTTTCCGTATAGGACTCTTTGAACAGTTTGTGCTGGATCTGTTGATGCAATTTTGGTCATTAGATTACTTTGGTGCTCTTTCTTATGTTTTTTAGTTCATTTAAATTTTGTTTTAACTGGGTATATTTCATTTATGAGCTGTAATAGTAGAAACTACATTTTTGTTAGAATATTAGAAAATTAGTTGCAATTGAATTAAAATTTTGTTAATTTTGCACATTCAATTTAGGAGGATTTATTGTTAGCACATTTCTTTTTTGTACTATGCATGTTTTCTATGCTATGATACATATCCTTCAAAATTTCTTTCTATTTTGGCTACAATAGGTTTTCAAAATTTGTATGTGGTGATAGCTTTGTCTGAGTCTTCTGAAAAATGATCGATTTGTTATCTTATGCTTTCATCTATATACCACCTGTATTGTTGGATGCTACCATTAGTTTATAATTATATCTTATTTTCCTTTTACTTCTTAAGCTGCCTAACTAGGGCAATGTATATTTCACAGGAACCAGGAGACATAGAAGCTGAATTTGCTCGCTTGGGTGCAACATTTGTTTTAAGAAAGTTCTTGACATATCATGATCCGGCACCTATTCTTATACCAAAGGACAGGGGATTTGGAGGATCCCCTAATCAAGAAATTATTTTACCTTCTTGGTTATCTGAAGATGATATTAACTATTTTGCAAGTAAATTTAACAAGTCAGGGTTCACTGGAGGAGTTAACTATTATCGGAACCTGAATCGGTATGTTTTTTGAACTGGCTATTCTATTTGTGTTATATAACCTTTGATGTTAAATATTGATACCTAAGTTCTATAATCTCATTTTAACCATACCCTAGCATAAAGTATATTCTATTTTCACCTTTGCAAAGCATGCTTAGCTGAACCCACTTGTAGAGGTTATTACAACTAAAGCTTGTATACAGTAGTTATGAATAAAATAAAATTTTTTTTATGCAATTTTTTTTATTCTAATGTAAATTTGAAGCTAATGATGCCAATATCTTAGATCTTGTATGACTCAAGTAGCTTTGCCTAGAGGAGTTGAAATTTACTAATGAAAGAAGGAAGAAAAATTTGTTGGAAGCGAGAGCTTTAGTATTCTTTTTGTCGATCATTGATGCTTAGATTAAAATTATGATGCATGATGTAGTGGAGAATTTAAGCTAGAAAAAATAATTGCTTCCATTTAATTTCTTTGTTGGAATATTTTTTGTTGTTTTCAATCCATCCCAAGCATGCCACTGCTTAGCCCAACCCTTAGGTGTATTGTTAGGGTTGATGTTGCAACCGACTAGTGCCTTCCCAATCCAACCTTCAAATGTATAATGCATCTGTAACTGAGTGGGGTTGGATGGGGAGGGATGGGTAGCTTCAAATGTATAATGCAACTCTCACTCAGCCCGACCCACCCCACCCCAAATCCAACCTTCAAATTTAAATGTGGTAGCTTCTCCATTTGAATGGGGTGGGATGGGGCGGGGTGGGTCGCGCTGAGTGAGAGTTGCCACTGCAACTGTAATGATTCCTATGCTACCACATTTATGAGAACTATAAGCTTTTTGTTATGGTTACATTAATGATTAATAGTATGGAGTTGATAATTATTGGTTTAGAGAACTTGAGAGAGAACAATGGTGATGTTTGGAACCACAAAGTTTGTCATCAATTGAGCTTGAACATATATCATCAGGATGGATGAAGGTTGAAGGTCCATTTGGCAACGAGAAACTCCTTATTTTGTAGATGCCTAGTAAGATCAGTTGCGAAGGGATGATAATGAAGAAGTTAATCTCATTTGTCTTCAAGATGTTGTTCTCATGAACAATTTTGATGCACTATAGCACAACGAATAGCTCAAGGTTGAGTGTATGCCTAGGAGATGTTATCTTGAAATTTGTGTAATGTAGAAATTCTCAATCCCTTGGGGAGTTTCATGGAAATGAAAATATCTGTGATATTTGGTTCAAGATTATTAACGAGCTTTCGTGTGAGAATGACATAGTCAAATGATTTCTATTTAGTTTATTTGAAGTTTTTCAAGAAATTTGGAAGCGAAGGACAAAAATGACCAAGTTTCATTTGAAATCTCAGGAAAAAATGAAAAAAAAAGAGACCATTCAAGATAATTGATGGTATTTATTTCAATCAAAATACTAGTAATCGATGCGATCTTCATTTTTACCATTTGGTTGAGGATGTTATAGGCTAGGAATACCTAGGGGTAAATAAATGAGAAGGAATTTGGCAATCTTGAATCATGGGTGTGAGAGAAAGGAGAAGACACTGCATATTGGTTGAGGGTTGCTGGTGCAAGTGTAGACAAAATTATATGAGAAAGTAGCATATGTACTATGAGTCAAGCGAGCGATGGCCATATGACCAGCGTAGGAGTGGGAAGTGCGAGGCCCAAGGAGTAGCACATAAGTGGGAGCTTGTGAGACCAAAGAGCAAGTGTTGCAAAAAAGAAAGCATGCGAGGCTAACCGAGTTGTGTGGGAATGGAAGTTGTAGTGTGTGAACTGGAGCAATGTGTGCGAGTGAGGGTTGTAGGATTTAGGAGGATCTTGTAAAGGAAGAGATGGAGCAACGGGTGATGGTGACTAGGCCTGTTAAACTTAGACCTAATAGCATGTTGGAGAAAAAAACATCTATTTTTTCTTGACACGCGCGCGCACACACACACACACAAATATAGATATATAGACAGATCTATACGTATAATATATACACACATTTATAAATATATGTATGTATATATACATACATCTATATATATGTCACGAACTAACACGAGGTTTGTTGGAATTAACCAAAGAGTGAACAGACTGTCAGTGGTGGAAATTAAAATTTTACATATTCATCTTCTATAACTAACATTTAACAAATAAAAGAGTCATCAAAGAAAATAAATTAAAGCAGTTCAGTTAAATTTACCTCATTAGAAGCTGTCTTTGTCTTTTGTAAACATTTTTTTTTCTTGTGCTCATTTAATTAAGTAATTAAATTTAAAATGTTAGTTTTAAATAATAGTTGGTTAACCGTAACCAGTGATTACTCATATTCCTAAACTATAATAATACAATAATAAATAAGACAATATGCTTGACAGTTAAATTTTATGTAAATTAATCTAAGGGCATGTGAAGAGTTTTACTATCTAATTTCATTTTTCAATGTAAGTCTTAATGCTCTCTGTCTTACAATATCATTTACATATCAGTATCTTTTTAATCTGTATTATCTAAAATTGTCATTTAAGACATTTCAATAACAATATTATTTTTATTTACGTGCATAGATATTTTACCGTTCTCTCGCTAGATGAGTGATTTTATCATAATCAAGTCTGCACATACATGCATGGTATGAAAATTAGTATCCAATAATGAATATTTTATTCTCATTTGCATGACAACCAATATATTTATATTACATTCAATATTTATGATAATTTAAACAATATTGAGTACAAATATCATTCCTAAAATAATAAAATCATGAGTTTGTAGTGATTTCAATGTAACTAGTGATTGTAACAATAATTATATTTGGTCTAGAAGATACAAAAAAAAATATTACTATAGCATAAGAACATGAGTGCCCACTTCAATCACCGATGATTCTCTTATCGAACGTTCTCTTTACTTATCTTCACTTAAAACTTAATGTTAAATGCATAAAGAATTTTTATTAATTTATTATATGTTAATCTTATTATTAGAAGGCAATTTGCCTTTATTTTAATATTTTTGTATCGTATAATAATAATAGTTTTATTATTATCATGTTATTTATTATCTTTATTTCATAATATAAATATAACTATTTCCTTTAAACAATTTAAATATAGTAAAATTTTGACAATAAAAAACTGGTTCTAATTTAATTTTCTATTTAGTTTATGTCATTTATATCTTTTCAATTAGGCTCTAAGATTTATATAAATATATATACATTTATGTTATGCTACAATTTATTATTATTATTTTTATTTTTATTATTATTATTAATTGTCATTAATTTTATGATATGTAACATTAGTTCATCGATTAAATAAACAAATAGAACTTAAATAAAGCAAACCCTAACATTTTTTTGCTGCCTTCATCCTTTCCTCATCCTAAAGTGAAACTTTTATAGGCTGAATACTAATTTAATTAAACTTACTATTAATAATTAATTATTTATTAAATTCATAAATTAATATTAAAAACCTTTACCTTCCACGATTCCATCTCCCCTATCTTGCACGCGAACCCCTCCTTCTATGGAGTTCTTTTTCGGTCAGGAGACCTGACGGTCCGCATGGTAACTACGGACAACAGTATTAAGAAAGCTACGGGCAATTGGATCATTGCAATCTGTTTCTGCCCTAGAGATTTACAAATTTAAAGTATACAATAGAGATAGTCAGATAAATAACTCTAACCACAGGTTATTCTTAGGTTATTGTTAGGTTATTGAGTTTTTCTTCAATCAACCCGAAAATAAATAACCCTAAACACAGAATAATGATGAAATAACCTAACGACAATCGAAGATTCACACAGAATCTCACTTTTTTAGAGATCTGATGGGTTTATGTGCAGGTTATTCCTAGGTTATTGTTGGGTTATTCTCGGGTTATTTAGTTTTTCTTCAGTCAACCCAAAAATAAATAACCCTAAACACAGAATAATGATGAAATAACCTAACGAAAATCGAAGATTCACACAGAATCTCACCTTTTTTAGAGATCTGGTGGATTTATGTGCAGGTTATTCCTAGGTTATTGTTGGGTTATTCTCGGGTTATTTAGTTTTTCTTCAGTCAACCCGAAAATAAATAACTCTAAACACAAAATAATGATGAAATAACCTAACGACAATCGAAGATTCAGACAAAATCTCACTTTTTTTAGAGATCTGGTGAGTTTATGCGCAAGTTATTCCTAAATTATTGTTGGGTTACTCAGAAAAACGGAAAACAGTTGAAGTAAACAAGAAATCTTAACTCCGTTTCAAAGACGTTGACATTCATTTCATCATCCATGTGCTCAAACTCTTCATTAAAAAAGAAATCTAACTCCATCATAAATGCAACGACCAAACCCTAGCTGAGACAAAAAAACCCTTTTTGAAAACTTCTTTTCTACTGAATAATGCATAATAGAAGTTTCTGAGGGAATATACAGCAAAAATAGGCGGGAATAAGCCAAAAAGGCGGGATAATACGTAACATTTAGGAAGTCGGGTTGGGCCGGGCTAAAGGCGAAATTTTTTCTTTATCATGACGTGTAAATATGGGTCCCGCAAGACCAGATGGCGTCTTTTGCTTGGACAGCGGACGTAGCGCACCGTACGGGGACCTGAGGGAAAAATTCGGCCCTTCTATGCCCTGCTCGACAGTGGTATTGTTCGCAAATCCTTCTTCCTTCCTCTGCACGCAGAATTCAGTTCCTATTGTAGGCACGCAAACTCCTTTGCATGAAAGATTTGGATCATACCGTAGGCACAAGAGCTCATCTTCCTCTACACGTAAGATCTGACTCCTACCGTATACATGAGAGATCCTCTTCCTCTGCTAGGGCTCGATTCTTCCCCTTTCATTCGCACCAGAGCTGCTCAACAATCACGTGTGCAGGTGCTCCTTCAGTCTCCCCTTACCACTCGCTCAATTTTTGATTTTTGCTTTGGTCATTCAGTTCCTTCTTCCGACTTTCATCTTTATTTAAATTGTCTGCTGATTCCTTTGCTTCGA